TATTGCCTAAAGAAAAATAAAGCTTGAAGATGATACTTCTGTTGTAACGGTCAGTCAGCGTTTCCCTTCTTTCTCCTCTCTGATCGTAACTAACTTTCCCTCACTATCTCTCGTTGCTTTCATCCGAGTTGATCCCCTCCCTCCCAGATAATAATCTGGTTATTTCATGTAATGCTGTCAGGTATCTGTCCTACATGCAACCTGTTCTGCCTCACTTGCCAATGTGTCGTCTAAGTGTCTTTGTCTTCCGTGCACTCCTCTTCACTTCTTTGTCCAGTGTAGTGTTTTGTGGGTTGCATTCAGTTCCTCTTTTCGCTGTTCATCTCTGCACTGCGTTGCACTGCACTGCCTCATGTTCTACTTCACCATCTTCCTCTCCTTGCTCTATCAGCTTCCATGTATCCATCGAGGTCCATTCCCTATCTTTCTTCTTGTTTCTTCTTGGCAGGGTTATGCAGGTTCCTTCCACATCACTTTCACTGAGTTCCAGCGTTCTCCTATGCAGGTTTCTTCGAGGCTGTTGCTCAACGTCTCCCATTTTTTCCTGATGACCGGCGTGCAGATGCCCTTTTTAGTTTCGTCCTTTAGTTCAATTTCTGTTCTGGGTGTTGAACTTGAACTGTGGCCTGTCACCAGCTTCTCTGAAGGCCTTCAATTTGATTTGGAACCTAGGTTCCTTGTACTAAATAGTGAGTGGTGTGAACCTACATCTGCTCCCCTTCTTGATCTGATCTTGAGTTAGATAGGCTGCATCTCCACTTCTTTTAGACTGAAATGAATTCGATCTGATGTTTAGTGTGTTCTTGTGTCTGGTGAAATCCGTGTCGCTTTGTGAATTATTTTGGTGTTTGTACGGACCACCTCCAATCACCAGATCGGTGAATACACAGAAGTCTTCAAGCAGTTCTCCATTCTCATTCTTCATTTCGCTGAGTGCTTCTCAACTAGTGATAAGTTCTCTTCCTGTGTTGTCCGCTCCCAGTTTCACACTCATGTCACCCCACCCTTTATAATTTTGATGTCCCCATCGGAAGTGGATTCTTGTTTATTACTGATTGCAGTTGTCTGTGGAGTTCCTCCTTCTTATGTTGAGCCGCATTGTCTGTAGGTGCGTGGCGTAGCGTAGCATTGTATGATTGTGACTTTCCTTCCTTTTGAGTTGAATCCTGCTGTCATAATCCTGATCGTTGAGGAGATTGGTTCCCATTGCATGAGAAAAAGCCATCAATGCCTTTGGGGACATCTTGATAGCTGCTCGTGGTTGTCGTCTGGGTGACAATATCAAGGCAGATTATTGACTCTGTAGTTGACAGTGTGGAGAGTCCATTTCCATTCCATCTGCTTTCTCAGATTCCTAGCACATCTATACCATACCTCCTCACCTCTTTTGCAATCTGGGTAGCCTCGCTGGGTTCATACATGGTGCGGAAATTCCATATCCTTATGTTTACTTTCACTTTCATCGAGAGAAGAGTAGAGACATAGGTCAGTTGGCATCCTGAAGGCTTTCACTGGCTGGCTTCATTTCGTCTCCCCGATTCCAGTGAGGAACGAGCTTATTTTCATTTTTTATATTTTCTTTGTGCTTTAAGGTTTCCTTAGTGGTTGGATTGGTTTTCCGGGGTAGAGTTGCTAACCCTATGACCAGCCTTCCTCCTCTATCCGGGTTTAGGACCGGCCAGTAACTAGTGAACTAGTTAACCAGGCCAGGTTTCAGAGTTACTATGCGGCAGTTATATTGTATAATAGTGCCTGCGCCTTCATCTATGCACTTCAGGAGAAATAGGATTTTGGAGTTGTTTCTCAGAGATGAAAACGATACTATCCTTCAGACCTATGCAGACGAATTCCCAGAACTGACCGAATGACAAAATTTGGAACTGGGTACAATGTGTTACTGTACCTCGGTTATGACGTGTCCAGTTACTACATAAACCTAACCTGGTTAACTAGTCCCTAACTCAACCATACTAGCCAGATAGGTTGAATAAAATTTTCCCCCATTCATTACTACTACTAGCACTAAGGAAACGTAAAATGACGTCCAAGCGTGCGCGGATACACGCTGGCTAAAAAACTTAAAACACCCTAAGCATCCGGAGGCAAGCTAGTGGTTTATTTAGTTAATTTAATTTATTTTAGCCCTAGTAGTATTTTGGTGCCAGGAAAGTGCACTAAAACATCATCAAACACTGTGCCGAAGGCACTGAGCATCAAAAGCAGCCTAAAAAGTCCATAATTTTTTCCTGAACCCATTTATAAGTTCACTTCAGCATTTGAATAATTTGACTGATGTCTTCGCTACTACTGCCTACCATACGCCTAACTTGGTCAACCCATTCTAGCCCTGTAGACAAAAAGAAATATCTATATCCACAGAAAAAAAGCGTTACTTAAAGAAACTCAGAGATAACACTCATATAGGAGATCTTGAAGTCTGCAATTTACTGTTTTCATGAGATCGATACTGGGTATTGGGCAATGCTTAAGTCATACTCTAACCTCCATGCTTTCTTTCTTTCTTTTTATATGAACACAGGTTGACAGTCAAAAAGCCTGCGATGCGCTGTCTCTGCACATGAAAGCCAGTTAGTTGAAAGCTTCTTCTGTTTCCGTGATCAATTATTTAAAACTATCTGAACTAATTTTTCGTATACTCATGGCCGCTGAATTTAGTTTGAGCGTTACTTTTGGAATATCATTGTAAGGCTAGTAAGTGTTCTTTAGGATTAGGTCATATCTTTTTCATTTGAGATTTATTTCCTTGCATCCATTGGGTAGAAACATTTAAATCTGAACGAAATGATTACTTCTTTTCAGCTTACCAATGTTTTTGTGTTTTTTACCATCTAATGTCTCTAGTAATATGAAGCTAGTATAACTTCCTTTGTTATTTGTAGGCACGAGTATAAATAAATAACCTCAGAGGCGTCAGATTGACAGCAAGGTTACAGTTCTGAAACTATTTTATCCTAGCATTACAACTGATAATGATGTCTTCTGTTGTAAAAGTCTCCTTCTTATAGATTGCCACAGGCTTCTAAATTTACTGGTATTCAGTGGATTTATAACAGCGACCATCACACATGCGAAAACATAAGAAGATAACTCACTAGGAAAGTTAACAATCTTTCCGTCATTCGAAATTATTCAAACAACTTAAAATGGATGCTTTAGGTGATACAATAGACGTTTGTGCAAGAAGTAAATTTGGTTATTTCATCGATACTGAGCAGAACTGAATTGGCTATAGATAGTGTTAGAATTTTTTAAAAGTTCAATCGTTTTTGCCTGTATACCTTCGTGTTTCACTTCAGCATCAAAAAACACTAGTTAAGTGAAAAACAGAATCTCATTGTTAGTTACGCGCTTTAGTCTCAGCTGAGTTATTTTTTCGGTAGTTAAGAGTCCGTTCCGGTAAACAACTCATCTTCCTTTTCTGGATTTTGACCGTAGTCAGTTTACGACTATTTGGCGGTTAGCAGTGCTTTCTAGTATGATCTTCAGTAGTGTTGTCAAAAAAACAAACATTTCTCATGTATAAATAAAAAATCTGTTTTATCAAGCTCGCGAACAACAAGTATCACATGAGTAAGTTTTATTGTAATCTCAGCTTGTTTAGAAAATCAAAACAAGAATTTTCTGAACATTTCACTGTGAATGCAACGGCATCTTCAGGAAAATATTTGGATCTTTATTAAACATCAGAATATGTACTGTTAAATAATACATGCAGCAATTTTTGTGTTTACATCATTGGTTAGCTGAGTTGTTGTTCAAACTGGTTGTTTCTAACAAGAACCGCATGAATTTATGATGAATAGTTAAAAATAATCAGTCTGAACAACAAATCAGCTAACCAATGGTGTAAACGCAGAAATTGCTACATGTATTATTTGACAGTATATATTTGGTGTTTAATAAAGACCCGAATATTTTCCTGAGGATGCAAAACGTCCAGAAAATTATTTCGTTTTCATTTTGTAAACACGTTTAGATCATATTAATTTATGTGACGAGTAATTTTAACTCGGCCCTCAACCTCTTTCAGAACATTCGTGACAACTGTTTTTACAACTGGAAAATTATCTTAGCATGACATAGAAAAAAACTAAGGGAACTGTAGTTCTTTTCTCGGAATGGCTTGTCATTCACCTGAAAGACGGCAGTGAATGCTGTCAGTAACATCGAGCAGCATATAAGCGTAGATTAGTCTGTCTTTTTATGGGTTGTTTGGAGCTAGCGGACGTTGTGTAAATCATTTCAACTTGGTTGTGGTTCATATGAAATAAAGGCACCTTAGGTTCCCACCCACATTGGTTGCTAAGGATTGGAAATATATATTGAATAATAATTGCATACTCAGAAAAGACTGATCAATAGTCCTCAGAACAAGATGAGAAAAATGTTGAAGGATATTGATATTAAAAGGAAGAACAACGTGGAAGTTTACATCACTAATAAGAACATTATAAAAGCGGGTTTTCTGTCTTAACTCGTCTAGCTATATTTTATGACTACTCTAAAAACTGAAAGCTTTATGACAAGGTGAATGATTTCTTTTTCAATACTAACCTTTGCTAAACCATTTCGTGAATGAGAATCTAACACCACAAGAAGTGTGACAGCATTCAAGACTCACAGTATCTCAGAAGTGTAAGTCTCAAGTTCGAATACCGCTACACTTATCGAAGTTTAGGCATCCAAGTTGTATCACTAGCCTTTAGACAATAGACGTGATTCAGTATTTAGTGAGCAAATCTGAATATCTTTGCTGAGTTGTGTTGTTTAGTTTTAAGTATCTGCTTCCAATTTTGTCACATGCTTATCAGTTTTAGTCTCACGGAAACCGGTGGTTTTGTAATAGTTCCGGCTCGTTTTGCCTATGCACTTACAATGTGTTAATTAATATCTGTTGAGCATATGTCTCACTAACTTTACATCAAATAGTCTTCAGGTTCGTTTTATATACTTTTAGGTGTATGGATATGTGATATAATATGAGCCGGAAGAAAAGCACCATTTCAAGGCGTTCTGCTCGAATTGCTGCTTCGACTTGTGATGTTCAAACTGTTTCTAAGAATAAAAAGTCGCTTGGTTCTACTGGAAAACGATCTGAGGTGGTAGTACATGCTAAGCAAACTAACTGCAGTAGCCAACACAATCTTGTATGCAGTCTGAATAAGCAATCACAAAAGTGTAGTGGTCGACGCAGTTCCAGATCCGCAACAAAGAAGCTAAGTCGTCATCAAAGTAAATCACAGTCCTCGAAGGGTTTTGAACCACCTAGAGATAGTAGCTCATCATTGACGGATAGCCATTCTGAACAGGAGAGTATCAGTAGTTTGAATGACTTGTGTCTGAGTGTTCAAGTGAAGAACTGCCCCGAAAGAAGAAAAAAGCTAATTTGACTCTGTTTTCTGAGTTCAAACCTAAATCGAAGCCTAGGAAAACAGCAAACTCATGTAAAACTGTTAATTTACCTGAAGGTTTTAAAAACGATATAGAAAATGATTCAGATGACGAAGCAGAATGGGTTGAAGTGAATGAAGAAGAGACTACAGAATTAGATTTTATGAATAAATTGTTAAATTTTAATGAGAATACTGTATGTAATGAGGTTGAAGAGCTAAAAGTTACTCCACTAACTATAGCTGTTCCTCTTATAAGTAACTCAAAAAGGCATTCGAAACAAGATCCGAAAGTTCTTGAAGCACTTGCATTAAAACGCAAACTAAAAGAACACTATACACTGATGCATTCAGTTCATGTCCTGTGCTTTCTTGCTCATAGTCGTGTAGTGAATCAAACATGTGACAGTTGTTTATGCCAAGCGTTAGGTCTTTCACTTTTGGCTAAGACTAGTGCAGTATATAATCACAAGACAAAAAAAATTTGCACAACTGTCTCTATGGTCATTGGGGCATATTGAGGCCTGTCTTGTCACACTTCTGTCGCACCAGGGAATGCAGTCATCAAATGAAAGAAATTCGTCTGATAGCTATGAATGTCAACTTGTTCATCGTTTGTCAGAGTCTAGATCAAACGAGGGTGACTGTCTCATACTTCTCGTTGCAGCTCTTCGCGCACTTGGGTTTGATGTACGAGTAGTTCTGGGCTTAAGTCCATTACCCTTAATACCCGGTAAAACCACTTCCAAGAATCTGACTTATATGACTAAAGAAATTAAACCTACTCAGCCGAAAAAACCCAACAGAAAAATCATCTCTTCAGACGAAGATGATATATTTAGTGAAGATTCACATAATCATCCACCTACTGAGAATTCAAAGCCTCGAATCTCTTTGTTTGCTGAAGTATTTCTACCGAAATTGGACCGTTGGGTGTGTGTTGTCCCTTCATCTCCTACAGGTGTTGTGGATGAAGTCAATTTAAGCAGAGTTTTTGTATGTTATTGGCGCCTGCTCTGTCAAATCAGCAGATCCTGATTTGGTATCTTACGTTAGTCGGAATCCGGTGACCTGTCTCCACGTTACGTTTTTGATTGGTGTGTTTCTGCTCGTACTCATCGCATACCTGCAGAAAGGTGGCACAATTTGCTTGAAATGCAAAGCAAGTTTTTTGATCAGGATGCTGCTGAACACGATGCCCTAGTACCGAAATCCGATACACTTCCCACTGCCCAACGAGATAAGAAGGATAAAGATTCTATCCACGGAAAACTTTTATCTCAGTCGTTGCCCAAACGTATGCAGGACTTCAAAAACCACCCGTTGTACGTCCTTCCGCGTCATCTACTAAAATTTCAAGTTATCTACCCAACTGATGCAATTCCTCTGGGATTCTTTCATAACGAACCGATTTACTCCCGTGACTGTGTTCACCTGTGTCATACTAGAGAATCATGGCTGAAAGAAGCTATGGTATGTTCACGTTTTTCATTGTTATCTTTTCCAGATAAAGTTTTTAACATATCTACACATAACTTCGTCACTTTGAACGGTAATATTTAAGTTGTTTGTTAATTGTTTGTGACTAAAGTGCTTGAAGTGAACTGAAATGCACACTACAAAATAATATGAAGTAATTACTGAAAATGCAGCTACCGAAAAGGAAGAGTCAAGATTAACATCTAGTTTGGATGATCGAAGAAAGGTAAACATTCATGCAAACCCAAAACGAAAGGAACTCTTATCTGTAGCACAGTTATCATCACCTACTGTTTTAAGTCTCGTTTGGAAAAACATCTTGACCTAATGAGCTTTGTAATAAATAACAAACGAAGCACCATCATGTCTCGACATGTAAGAACTCTAACATATTCACCCTTCATTTTAAGGCGAGTCGTTTTAAACTAAAATGTTAAACCTTTTTGGTTGACTAGTCACCAATATAATAAGCTTATGTCAATAAATATTATTGTACCAGGGCACCAAAAGTTCAACTTCGTTTAGGTTAGTCTCCAAGTATTGAAAAACTGTTTAGAGGCGAAATCAACGTAGAACGGTTCGTGTTGCCACTTTACAGTGGCATACAAGGAACAAGTGGGTAGAAAATCTAGAGATATCGAAATATACTACTGGGAAGTGTGGCAACTTGGACCGATGCATTTGTTTGCAAGGTTGTACTCTGATTTTGTCTGTCTCTCTGTCTATATTTGTCTTTATAGATGTGTCGATGATATAGTGAAAATATGTAAAACTCATGAGAATATGATTTACCAGTCTCTGTCGTAAAAGATCAGATAGATGAACACAATATCAACATAGAAAGTCTCGGCATGCGCCACACATGTCGAAATCATGTTAGTCGGTAGAGGTTCACAACCTTATTGACCGACTTTCCTTCTTTGCTCATTACCTTTCTAACTTGAATATTCAGCTATACAGTTTTAGGTTAGAAATCTATGAAGACTAGAAGAGTTTGATCAAATAGGTAGTATTGTTAGTTATCATCTAACGGGTGTAGCTTTTGATGAGTAGATAAACTTGTATGATGCTACTATATTTCACTGTTTCTAATTTTTACAAACGTATAATAGGGTATGGTGCACTAGTATGCTATGTTTTCAACTCGACATCCATTCATGTGTATTATCAGTGTCGAAGATGGCGTAAATTAGCGGATCTCAAACAGACTTCATGTTTTCATGACAAGGTTTTGTTAGCTAACAACTTACTGAAGTTGGTTCGAGCCCCGTTCCATTTGCCGAGGTTTGGGTAGCCAGGTAGTATCACTAGCCCTGACACAATAAGTGTGGTCCATTGCCTACTGCATGAATGTGCACAAGGTAGCTAAGTGCATTTCATTCACTGAGGCTGGTGGATCAGATCAAGCTTGCTTCTTTATTTAATCTTAAATTTCGCGGACACCAGCTAGTAGCCAAACACGGTGGTAATGGTCAAATTTTTATTTGTTTGAAAATAAAGAAAGAAGAAACGACCAAGTAAAAGTGTGTACCTTTTTTAGGAAAAAATACTTAACTATTATAATTTAAAGAACTGCTAAGACGGATGATGTCACTATTGTTAACGTGAGTCAAATTGAAATTGACAATTTCCACTTCTAGTGGGTACCACAAAGAAATTGTTTCACTTTTCCAGGGTTTATTAATACACCAGCAGTTATAGGTTGATTAATCACTTTATTTTACATATGCAGCCTTCTAGTAACAGGCTATGCTTTGCTGGTTATCTAATTTATCAAACAGCCCAATTTATGTTAGTTTGTTATAATCGTTTAGGATTATGTTGATTAAATGCTTCTGGTGTATTCAGCCGACTGAACATCATGTATCGTTATGTTTCATTTTTAAAAATAATTACAGTTTTATGTAGTAGGTTATTTACGCCACGTGACAGTCCAAACCTTGGAAACCGAAGCAGGAGGCAGGATTTTAGTGCGTCAGTCACTGATTAAGAGCGTAGTTTGTTGGTCAGCGAATTACATTTCTTTGTGAAGAATGATACATTCATTGAAAACTTTACTTGTACTCAATTATTGTCAAATAATGAAAGGTTTTGAATTTGAAAACTAAATTAAGATGTCTGTATTTATTTGTATTACTGTTTTTAGGTTGTTCGTGTGCATGAAAAGCCTGCAAAAGTAGTCAAAGCTCGATTGTCAATGAAACGTAAGCTGTTACAAGCCTCTGATTCTACACCTCCAACTGTGGAGGTTTTTGGTCCATGGCAAGTGGAACCATATATACCACCGATAGCTGAAAATGGTGTTGTCCCACGTAATTCACATGGAAATGTAGAATTGTTCAAACCTTGTATGCTACCTGTAGGCTGTGTTCACCTATGCCTGTCTGGTAAGTCATGATTGTTTTCACTTGATTTTATGATTTGAAACACTTATTTGTAATTTGTTGGAGATAGTCTTCAATTCTTTTTTCTGTTTGAATTTCACAAGATGATAATACTTGGAACACGTTCAAACTCGGATGGGAACAGGTTATTTTCAAGAACTGGAATACTGCACTAGTATTATTCCTTAACATTGCTTACGCTTTTACTAGTGTGATCCTGGTGAAGTGTTTCCAGAAAAAACAAAGCAAACACATGGCTTTTATGATTTCATAGTTTTCGACTTAGCTGAGAATGTACTTTTTAAAAAGATGGATCATATGAACCTGATAATTTTCCTTTTTCATGTTTTAATAGTGTAGTCAAAAGACGAAGTTTGTGCGAAAAAGGGATTTATTTAGATACTATACTTTGAACAGTTCCGTCACTTGTCAAAATGTAAACGGAAATGAGATTATTCTCAGTTATGGCTAGTAGTGGAATGGAGTAATTGACACAAAACTGAAAAATCAACGTAAAACGTTGCAAAAAGGTGCATGAGCCCAAGTTGTCACACTTCACAGTAGTAACCAAAGAACAAGTGGATAAAAAGAGAGTGATATCAAAGTAGATAAATTTGTATGAGAGAATAAACAATCTGAAGGTGAAGGTTAGTGCGAAATTCAAGCTTTAGAAGATGTCAAGGACTGAATGCATCTGCTCCATTGTGATTGATTTTCAGCCATGTCACCAAGAATCCTCAACCACTGATTGATTCCGTCTCTGGGATCCTAACCAGACAGTCTACATCTCCCAACTCAGCTCAGGCCAACATTGGGAGACTTCGTCAACTGGTGCCAGGTCTTGTTCTGACCGCCCTGACCCGTCTTCCAACCTAGTCCAACTTCCCCTAGTATGATGCGTCAGGGTAGGCTGTGGATCGGCATGCCCAGTACATGTCCAAGCCATCTTAGTCGATTAAGGTTCACAACCTTATCAATAAATTTGTCTTTCTTGCATAGTACCATTCGTCTGACTTCACCATTGCTCACACGGTAATTCCCTTAAACGCTAGCATTGCTACGAAGGCACCTATGTTCAAAACCCTGCAATCGATTCATGTCTTCTACTTCCAACGGCGATGTCTCAGCCGTATAACAGGACATAACGGACTGCAGCGCAATAAATTAAAGTAGTTATGACAGTAGAGAACGTAGAAATTAATCGGATAATAAAGGAAAGGTAATATGTTTCCATATTATCTTTGATATTAGAATTCGATAAAGATAAAAATGTTGAGTTTAGTGATGTAACAAGTTCGTTTTCAGTGCAAGAAAAAAGGCCTAGGTTTACATCTAAATAACATTTTAGCGAATCAAAGTATGCTTCGTCAATAGCTTCCATACAAAAATTTAAAACCTCTTGGAACCCACCTCTGTAATATGTTTGTTTATGGACAAAGTAGTTCTCCTGCCAGCTTGTTACAACTCGTATATTCCAACACGCCTGAACTTACCAAAGTTTAAGAGTCTGTCTTTAAAACCACATAGTTGCATGTTTTACCATTCTTGTCTACAGCTTGATCACTTCTCCCTATAATAATGTACCTGCATACATGCTAGTAATTTAGTTATCACTTCGATATCTTCATTCAGTGTACCTGCTATGCACATATATCGGATGCTGACGAATGAACAGTTGATCATGCATTGCCTATATTGCATTGTGTCAAGCCATTTTTTTCCCTGACTTGGGAATGAATCCAAAGCCCCAGATTAACGTCGTTTCCTTATTGACAAATTTACTCAATATGGTCCTGGAAGGGACCTCCGAATGGCTAGATAAAGACATTTCACCAGTCCATGAATTCTCTGACTGTTTGAGCTGTATGGAAAGGTGTAGACTAGCCGTCTGGCGTCCCCGAAATCATGAAAACCAATGGTTAAAGACTCTTAGTGACATGACTGAAAATCGGTCACAATGGCGTAGAAGTATTCACCCTTTAACGACTTCTGTAACTTGTACATTCTCACTAATTTAGATTTTCAAATTCTTTTTCTTACCATACACTTTAATATACTTTGATATACCTATTTCTTCTACCCACTTGTTATTTGCATGCTGTTGTAACATGTGGCAACTTAAACCGATGCACTTCCTCTTCGAATTCCAACGTTGATTTTGTTCCCGTCTGTCTGATCTACGATAGAATTTTTCCGACCGGTAAATCACATTTTCATGAGCTTTACATATTACTACTATTTCATCGATATATCTTCTATGAGGAGCAACTGTAGCAGTTTGACAGCTGAATAAGTTTTCAACGTATTTTTTATAGACAGCTGGAAATAGCCTTAATGAACTTGCCATAACGGAAATGTCAATAATAATAATTTAATGATAATATCTGCCTTTATTTCTGAAGGTTCATTCTCGCCAGAAAGGGATAATTGTCTGAACATAGTCGCAGCAGGCGATTGCCGTTATTTGACCCTTCATCTGGTATCCTAAAAATAATGCCACTTAAGTGCCTTTCTGTCTGACTTAACGTACCCACTTGTGCATTAAAATAACCTGCTACTACAAGCATATATGAGTGTCTGGGTTTCAGTAGGAGGCTAAACAATTTCCAGTTAGATATAGAGAGTGACCAAATCAACGTAGGGACTCCCACAGAAGTGCATCGGTTTAGGTTATCACGTTGCACAATAGCATGCTATGAACTAGCTGGTTGGGAAAATAGGTATATCAAAGTGGATTGAGGTGTATAGAAGGGAGAAGAATTTGAAAATCTTGATGAATGAAAATGTTTGAGCTTCATTATTTATTATTATTTTAAATTTTCTGTTGCTATTAGGTATATATGTGTAAGTTTTGCTAGATTAGACGTAAATATAACATTTAATTTTTATAACATCTAACAGAATATCTGCCATGCATTTTCTTCCATCACTAATAATGGATCATATTTATGCTGTATTTGTATGTGTTCATTACAACAACGGATCTCATATTGCGTTTAATCATGTATCAGGTCTATTCCGTAATCCGTTCAAAGCTTTGAATTGCTGGCAAGTCAAAATGCTTCTGTTACGGTCCCGAACTATGGAACTGATGGACAGTACTGACTGATTATACCTTCTACCAACTCTGATTTTTGAAGAGGTTGGAATAAAGGTACTCAAATAACCATAAGTATTTTTAAATTTTACATCGGCAGGAAAGTCAGAAAATTTTGTTTGTAAATGTGCTATTGTTGTGTTATTCAACCAGTGTTGATTCATTACTGATTCTAACTGAAAACGTCAGACTGGAAAATGAACTCGATAGCAATTTAATACCCACAGAAATGAGGGTGTACAGGCTCATTGTGTAACTGTCACCGAAATGTGCTCGCAGTCCATCTTCATATGAGATAACCAACTACATTGATTGTTCATGGGAGAGCAACCAATTTCATGTTGTCTAGTCCTGAATACAGACCAAATTCTATCCATCATATTTGCAATGTAGCCACCAAGCTAGGAGGCTCAGCATCGCAGTGCATATTAGTGGATGTTAGTTAGTTGAAGGCAATCGGCAGGAAGTCTTGGACCTAGGTTTCTTGCTTGTTGGCACGAATCAGCAAGGGGTATCTGCAACCTCGATGGAATTGATGTCCCATCTGAGACTCGAACCCGCATCACCCAGTGTTGTAGTCAGTGACGTTACCACTGAGCTATTCGGGCCGCAACTGACCTCCTGTAGGACTGAGTAACATATACTGACTATAACATTGGGTGATGCGGGTTCGAGTCCCAGATGGGACATCATTTCCGTCGAGGTTGCAGATACCACTTGCTGACACGTGCCAACAAGCACGAAACCTAGGTCCAAGACTTCCTCTCGATTGCCTGCGACTAACTAATATAACCAATTGCCTATAAAATCACATGATTTCTTTTGTTGCTATTAGCTTGTAGATAGTCTGGATATTCATATAGAGCAAATGTAAAGACCTGTTAACCTGATTGAATTTTTCGCCGGATCTGCTTTCCACAATATTTATCCTGAAAACCGAATACTGGACTTATTTTCTGGTAAAGAATGTATGTGAAAAAACTAAATCGTTGACGAATAGAAGAAAGGTAGCGTCAATCAAGTGGACCCATAGCCAGGCCGGTCTTTGGCAGCTTACACTACTTCATTGTGTTAATGTGATATCCAAGTGCCTATTAAAAACGGAGTCTTTCGTACAACACTCCATTTTGTTTTACTATACGGTTGTAAAACGTTATTTTTTAAGTTGAAGCAATGACAAAGGTTAACAGTATTTATTTAACGTTCCCATTTATGGTATGACTGCCACATAGTGGGATTACTGTATGAGCAGTATAAAGGTTAAGCGTACAGTATTGTATGAAGGTAAATCATTTTGTGAAGTCATGAACTTTCATAAACTGAAATGATTCAAACGTGTATGAGGCACGCCGAATCGTTCTACTCTGCTGATATTTTTCGTTTGAAATAGGACTGGGTTAGAAGATGTTCAGGATAATCAAAATAAAGGACGGAAACAAATCAATGTGACCATTATTGCAAGCCATATAGTCAGGCACATACTTTGCCTTTTGTAAAACAGTAATTACCCATAAAATATCAAGAATTATAGCCTAAGTCAGCCTTCTCAACGTGCATACCTCAAAGTAATTTCTATTTTCATGTTACCAACATTAAATTTATTCTCTGAGCTTCATTGTTGCCTATCAGTCAAGACTGTTAGCAACATGTTTTGGATTATTTCTGTCAGTAAAAAAATTTTTTATCGGTATTAGTTGTACATATGGACTCTTTTGTCTTGGAGTTATTCAAATTTGTTTGGTTAATTTCCCTCAAAATACCATGAAAAGCCGAGGTTCGATAGTCTTCTCATTTTGAATAGTCTCCTGCTGTCATGCATTCATAGATTTTGGCAAGGAGGTTCTACTAAACTACCCTCACGTAAGGAATTTATTTCCACAGAAATGAAAGAGTGAAAGTGAATGTC